GTTCCTCGAACACTTTGGACAACGCAGAGAGGATAGAGATGGGTCGATAGTTGGAGACAGTATTATGCGGTCCAGTCTTGTGTATGGGTACAATAAAAGCTTTCTTCAAGGCATCAGGGAAGATTCCATAGGCCAATGACGAAGAGAATTGAAGAGTTTGCATATTGGCTCAGCCAGAATGTGTCTACTGTATTTCAGAACATTAGGAGGAATTTCATCCGGACCCCAGCCTTTGGTCTCATCGAGCTTAGCAAGCTTTGCCAAGACATCAGCAGGGCTGATTTGAGAATTTGCTGAATTGCCAAGCCTATCAAAATGATCAGGGATGAAATCATGGGAGGACCTGGTAAAGACAGAGGAAAAATACTCTCGGAAAGACTCGCACATTTCCCGTGGTTCTGTAATAGTTCGGCCATCATGAACAATATTAGGGGGCACGGAGGATGACTTTCTTTGTGCATTAACATGACTCCAAAAATAACTAAGATTGTTAGGGATGCCTGCTTCAATTCTTGCCAAATACTGGTTAAAATCTCTTCTGGCTGCGACCTTGCATGATGCTCTTGCATTGGAGAAACGTAAATAGTTCGAAGCAGATGGTGCTTGCTTATAGCATTTGTGCAGTACTTTTTTTTAGATAACCCGGTTCTTCAAATCAGGAGAAAACCACCTAGGAAATGGAGAAACCCCTGTTCTCCTCATAGGTGAGTGGATCTTGACGGTATTGGCAATGGCTGAGAGGAAATTATCAGTTGCTTTGTTGAGATCAGGTTCATTCAGACAGATGGTGAAATCCAGCGCACAGAGAGAAAGATGTGTATCAAATAAGTTACATCGTTTAAGGTCATGCACATAATTTATATGGTTTCCAGTGTTCATTGGGGTGTTCAGACTGACGCTGAAAGACAGCGGGGGGTGGTGTCTTTCTTCTACTAAAAGTAGGGCATCAACCTCTCGCTGGATCTCAATCTCTTCATTTGATGCGAAGACTAAGTCAAGCGACACATCTCTGCTGTTTTGAATCCGGTTTATCTGGTGGAGATCAAATAATTCCATCGTTGACAACATGGCTCTTGATGCAGGATTGTGAGGAGATAACAGAGGTTGAACCCAATTCACGTGCGGAAGATTGAAGTCTCCGATGATGAAGATTTCGTCATATTGGCGGCCAGAGGACATTAATGCTTAAAATGACTGAAGAAAGCTATTATATTTGTCTACTTGTTCATGAGGCGGGATGTAACAAGCTATGAGAAGCCACATTACTTCCTTGCAGGGTTTGATTTCGATCATAACATGTTCAACATCGTGACAGCCAGAGATTAGTTGAGAAGAACCTATACTGTCTTTCACTGCAACCATTACTCCACCCTTACTGGACTTAGCACTAGTAAGATGAGACCTGTCGCACCTGTAAATTGTGAAGCCGAGAAGAGATATTTCCGAATTGCCTATGTCTTAAGATAAGTTGGTTTCAGTTAGTGCAACTATATCAAAAGGTGACATAGCAATAAAATTTCTTAAATCAATAAGTTTAGTCCGTAGCCCATTAACATTTTGATAGTAAATAATGAGTTGTCCGTTGGTCTTTATGTGTTTTTTGCCTGCTTCACAATCTTTGGTACCCCCTGCTGATACTTTATGGTGAGGTCTTTTTCACCCTCTTTAGTACGTTTCTCAAGAGATCCACGAAGTTCCTTCAATCTCTGTCGCTCTAACAAGGTGCGATCTCTTGAGATTTCTATCTTACGACCAGGGAACAATACCATGATAGCCTTAGCATCCACCACAATTTTTTCTCTTCTCTCTCTCTCTCTCTCTCTGTCCAGCGTATGGTGCTTTACTAGTTTTGGTTTTTGAGAATGGCCTCATGGTGCTTTACCAGATCTCGGTTCCCATTGGTGCTAGGAAAAATGAAATACGCCATTTTGTTCAGAAAAAATCCTGATTCCAAATATGTTTTCAGCTCTTCGATATTTTGAATTCTGAAGAATGGCCTCTTGGTGCTTTACTGGGACTAACGGTAAAAAATGACAGTTGGAGAGAGAAGTGCTTTACCAGGACCCTAAAGAGAGAGGGACCTTACGAGGTCCGAGAGAGATGTGCTTTAGCGGGTCCAAGAGAGAAGGCTTTATGAGGACCGAGAGAGAAGGGCTTTAGGAGGACCGAGAGAGAGGGGCTTTAGGAGGACCATCGATGTATATAACCTAACATATACATATGGTTAGGTTATATACATCGATGAGGCGGACTGATACAGATGTCAACACACAATTGTCATATGTACAGTATAGTCATATCTATACAGGGTGGCTGAAAAGTAACTTGCACCCCTCCTTAACTTTTCAACCATTTGGGATCGGTTTGCGGCAACCTTCTTAGATGTGAGGAACTACAATAATTATGGTAAATTTAGAAAATTTTGCCCTTATCGGTAGCGGGGGTAGGGGGTAGCTCAAAATTTTTAAATGGCAAGTATAGTCGAGTTTAGTATTATTTTACAGGTCTTGACGAAACAAAACAATTGACATAAAGAAAACGAAAATCGGCCCACTAATAACAAAATGGCGCCCTAAAGCGTATCAAATCCAAATAACCATGAGGGTGGCTGAAAATTAACTTGCACCCCGCCCCCCCTTACCTTTTTAACTATATATTTGGAGTCGGTTTGTGGCAACCTGTTTCGATATGAATGGCTACAATAATGATGGTAAATTTTAAAAATTTTGTCCTTAGGGGTAGTGGGGGTTGGGGTAGCTTAAAATGTTCAAACAGGAAGTATGGTCGAGTTTGGTATCATTTTACAGGTCTTGATATAACTAAACAAGGAACGTAAAGGAAATAGAAATCGGACCATTATTAGCAAAATGGCAGCTAAAAATGATTAAGACAATGGTTATTAAAAGTAATTTTGAACTGCCATTTTGTTTTTAGTGGTCCGATTTCAATTTTCTTTACGGTAATTGTTTAGTTATGTCAAGACCTGTAAAATGATACCAAACTCGACCATACTTCCTGTTTGAAAATTTTAAGCTACCCCCTATCCCCACTACCCCTAAGGACAAAATTTTTAAAATTTACCATCATTATTGTAGACATTCATATCTAAACAGGTTGTACTCGATACATTGTAGTAAAGGCTACAAGTGCGGAGTATGGGAAGCGTCTGTGGCAGTTGGATTAATGCATCTAAGTTACTAAAATGCTATGGGAAGGGAGAGGAACAGGTCCGAAAAGTAGGAAGTGGCGAAGGAAGTAGTAAAGGCTAGCATTAAAGAGTGTGGGAACCGTCTGTGACAATTATATTAACGTATCTGCAAACCTCATATGCCATGAGAAGGGAAGGACACTGGTCCACGACGTAGGGATTGGTGAAGGAAGTAGTACAGGCTGGCAGTGCAGAGTGTGGGAACCGTCTGTGGCAATTAGATTAACGTATCTGCAATATTTATATGCCTTGAGAAGGGAAGGACACTGGTCCACGACGTAGGGAGTGGTGAAGAAAGTAGTAAAGGCTGGCAGTGTGAAGTGTGGGAACAGTTTGTGGCAATTAGATAAATGTATCGGCAATCCTAAAATGCTATAGGAAGGGAGGGAAACAGGTCCACGACGTAGGAAGTGGTGCAGTAAGTAGTAAAGGCTGGCAGTGCAGAGTGTGTAAACTGTTTGTGGCAATTACATTAATGTATCGGCAATCCTAAAATGCTATAGGAAGGGAGGGAAACAGGTCCACGACGTAGGAAGTGGTGCAGTAAGTAGTAAAGGCTGGCAGTGCAGAGTGTGTAAACTGTTTGTGGCAATTACATTAATGTATCGGCAATCCTAAAATGCTATAGGAAGGGAGGGAAACAGGTCCACGACGTAGGAAGTGGTGCAGTATGTAGTAAAGGCTGGCAGTGCAGAGTGTGTAAACTGTTTGTGGCAATTACATTAATGTATCGGCAATCCTAAAATGCTATAGGAATGGAGGGAAATATGTCCACGACGTAGGAATTGGTGAATGAAGTAGTAAAGGCTAGCCGTGCAGAGTGTGGGAAGCGTCTGTGGTAGTTGGATTAATGTATCTAAGATACTAAAATGCTATAGGAAGGGAAGGACATAGGTCCACGACGTAGGGAGTGGTGTAGGAAGTAGTAATGGCAAACAGTTCGGAGTGTGGGAACCGTTTGTAGCTGTTAGATTAATGTATCTGCAATACTTAAATGCTATGAGAATGGAAGGAAACGTGTCCACTACGTAGGAAATGGTGAAGGAAGTTGTAAAGGCTAGTTGTGCGGAGTGTGCAAACTGTTTGTGGCAATTAGATTAATGGATCGACAATCCTTAAATGCTATGGGAAGGGAGGGAAACAGGTCCACGACGTAGGAAGTGGTGAAGGAAGTAGTAAATGCGAGCAGTGTGGAGTGTGGGAATGGATTAAGAATGGATTAATGCATCTGCAATACTAAGACTGCTCTGAGTGTAAACTAATGATTTTCCACGTGCAAAGCTCGATCCCCAGCAAAGCTCGACTATAAGTCCGGGCGCGATATCTTTTCACTTGGGACTTACACAACCTGGCAACGCTGCAGGGCTCGCTACCCCATCCTATACCTGACATGTTCCACAGCACACAATACTGTACAAGACGCGGGCGCTGAACTCGGTGATGTGACATTGCCGATACAAAATTCACACGGAACAGTGGAACACAAAAAATCCCAAGTGAAAAGATATCGCGCGCGGACTTATAGTCTTTGGTTTGATGGGTGAACAATGCTGCCACGTGATTCAACATTGTACATAATTATGTATACTTTCATTTTGGTTAGATCCTTCGGTTAGTTTTGTCATCTACAAAAGACATTTTCACCTTGTTGGTTACATGGTTATACTTTTCTTGAGTTTATTATTTAATTAGACAATTGTTAAATAGCGTGATGGGATCATTGAGGATGTGGAAAGTTATATAGAGTTGAGATCGTTCACACTGCTAGTTGGTTGTAAAACAAAGGTTTTGGTAAGATACAAAAAAAATGTTTTATTGGGAAAACAGAGGTATTAGAGTTTACAACAATAAAATACACAATATAAAAATGCATATAAAATGTTATTACAAGGAACTAAATACTATCTTTTGTCAAGGCTTGCGATCTTGACAGTTTTCTGGTAACGCTCGGGCATAGTGAGGCAGTCGACCAGAAACTTAGCCAAGTCCCCGCGCGAGACGCCAGGGTAGCCCGGTCCTCGGACGATGGTATACCCTGTAGTAGCGACGTCGGTGACGTATGGCGTGACCACGGCCACCCAATGAAGACTGCTGCCTTCCAACACTCTCCAGGAGCGTCTTTCATCCTGCTCTAACACGTCCCTAGTCGTGTGGATATCTTCATGAAAAGTGTTAGCTGAAAAACAGCACAAGGTCCCATGAGAACAGATATGATACGAATTAAATTTATTTATAAGCTGACATTGGAAGCAGTAATTTTATTGTTACCTTCAACCTTTGTCTATTAGTCAATGCTTCAACTTAAACAGTCATCAGTGCGAGTAATAAGCATTTTATAAAAGTTCTTGCTAAGTTTTTACCAGAAAAAATATCGAGTTAAAACAGTACATACAATTTTCGATTAGAGTGTTGGTTCTTATACATGTAAACGTGTAAATGAGCAAGAGGTAAATAACATCAAATGTATTACACTTATATTCATATAATTCATTATTACTATAGTATAGCGGAAGTGGATAACTGCATATAATATTACGCAAAACCGTGGTTTACGAGTATTTGTCTTATATACTAGCTTATTTACAGAAGTCATTGCATTTAAGGTGCTTAAATACATACATTGAAAGCAGACTGAAATAACTTTAATGCGAAGTAACTCCATCACAGTAACAATGTTTTTTATTCCCTCAGATGTGACGTTTGAAGTGTCTGAAACAAATTATCCTTCAGTAATGTATGTACTCGTACTGTTTGAATTGCAATGGAAGGCCGCAGAACGGTTGTGTTTTAACCGTACTATTAGCTATTAGCAAGTGTTAACCAATTAAGTATGAATCACTATGTTTAAAAAATACTAATTCAAATGAACCACCATCAAGTATTGTATAATAGGTATATATATTTTTAATTAATTGAAGTAAAAACTGTCACTTTGCAAAAACTACTTTTAATTACTACATTTCTTTCCTTCCTAATGATAAAATAAAAAGGAACTAGGTTTTCCAGGTGCAGTAAGTGTATAACACAGGAAATGTATATTTTTATTATAAATCTTTTCATGGTAATTTTAATATTTTGTCGATAGGGAAAAGGAAAAGGATGCAGGGAGAAAACAATGTGTTGCTTTCTCGAAAACTACCCGGTTTCACATACAAGTTGTATAACAACTAAGTGTGAAAAATAGCATACTTTTCACCTCCTGAAATCAACGGTTTTCAATAACTAAGAAGTAACTTAACCTGTATGAATAAAACATATTTTTTAAATGCTATTTTGAATTATTTTTTTAAAATCAAACCTTTTTTCACTCTACCAAATTTATGAAAACCTATCAAAATTCCCCACATATTTTTAAGAAAAAAGGAAACATTACCATTAAGTAAAATGGTAGGACACTTCCAAGTATAATATATATTATTAAAAGAATTTGTTGGATTTTTGTGTGCAGTAAATCGACCCCTAAAGATTTATTTTTATAGACATACTAGCAGTTACCCGACGATTATTTTAAGCTAGTGCACCTGTTATTATGACACCTCGTTTGTAAAAATCCGTCCATTATTAACGGAGGAGTAGTGTTTCGTAGAAATTACCTTTACGTATTATATAATAAGGATGGTAATTTGTTCTTTACGATGAATAATGAAAGTGTATACCAAAAATAAAAATAGAATATATTACTTAATTGCCAGTGGATAAACAATATTTTTTTTCCTACAGTCACCCGACAAAGTTGGCTTCCTTGTACTGTTTATAGTACAGAAAGCTGCTAATTGCTGCATATTTATACTTTGCCGTACGGTTTATACTTTGCCGTACGGTTTATACTTTGCCGCACATCAGGATTCCAACGAAACAACACAAAACAGCGTGGTTCCATTATGCACGTAATCCGTGTAGGGTCTACGCTTGGAAATAGGTTGGCAACACTTGAAGATAATTATACTATGAGCAGCTGATTGACTATTATAACTACGATTTAACCTGTCATTTCGTGTTTATAGTTTCGGTATTTCTGAACTTTCTGGACTTTTCTTTTAAACGTTTTTAAAACCTTCCTACGATCATAATAAACAAGAAAATACCTTTTAAGCATTTTTTTTAGGCACGGAATCCACTTCAAATTACAAAAACATACGGAACTATATTCTCAAAACGCAGAGCACATTTCTTGCAGAGGAAAAATAGCGGAGTGATATGGACCGCGGGTACTACTTTCTCTAGGGCACCATTTGTGTTGCCAGCTGAACCTATAAACGTGTTGCATAGTGTTTGAAAGACTAATAATTTATATGCTTTATAGTGACTGTAGGAAAAATATAATGTGTAACACGAGTGAAAAAGGCCTTTGCTGCACTCGAGATCATTCCACACGAGCCGAGTAAACATTGCTCTCGTGTGCAGCAAAGTGCCACTTTCACCACTAGTTACACAAATAACTATTGTTTTTTCATTAGGTGTATAAATATATAAGTTTTTAGGCGTACCTACCACCACGTGAGCCACGCAATATACAGCTGTCCGTGTGAAAAGCATGTATTTTCTAAATTTAAACCGACCCTAGTCAGGGATTGCCCTAGTGTCTTATAGGCTAATGGCGATTGCGAAAGCAAGACACAAAGGAAAAGGACATTGTAGTTGCTTAAACTCAGAGGGTAATTAGGATGAAATCATCAGTATTAATTCTATTTCTCCTCTTACCACTGATAATTTTGGCTTCAATCAATTTTGGTGTAATTTTTTAAATCGTCAGTCTGGAAACGTTGCAGAGCTTTGGTATATAAAGTTTCGCATTAGTATTGTTGGAGTTCCTTCTTTTGGTGGGTTGAGTTGGGTTAGTGACAAATTTAGAAGCTTTTGATAACCTGAGATAGCACGCACGATTATTATTCACTTAATAATTTATGTTAGATTGTGTAGGTATAGAACAAAATATAAAAATATTAAGGCATTGCCATTACTTTTATCCTATCCCAAGTAGCATAACAATGTTGTTTCAATGTTGTCGTTAACATTTAATCAACATTAATTTAATATTGCCACAATATTGATCAACGTGGTAACAATATTGTTACAACGTTTTCGTGAAACAAAATACATTGTCTTGACAATGTTGTCTTAATATTTTTCAACGTTGTTTCAATGTTGTTTTCAACATTTAAACAACATTCATTCAATATTGCCCAAATATTGATCAATGTGGTAACAATATTGTTACAACGTTTTCGTGAAACAAAATACATTGTCTTGACAATGTTGTCTTAATATTTTTTAACGTTGTTTCAATGTTGTTTTCAACATTTAAACAACATTCATTCAATATTGCCCAAATATTGATCAATGTGGTAACAATATTGTTACAACGTTTTCGTGAAACAAAATACATTGTCTTGACAATGTTGTCTTAATATTTTTCAACGTTGTTTCAATGTTATATGGAAATATTAAGCCAATATTAAGACAATTTTGAAAAAAATGTAGAAATAATCAATTAACAATATTTTGTTAACATTAACAGTATTTTGATTATTGTTTTTACAACATTGTTAAAGTATTTTTGTATCGTCTGTATTATCCTGTCAATATTAAGCTAATATTTTTAAAATATCACAAAATAATTGTTAAACAATCTAAGTATTCAAAATACTTCGGCCTGCATAAATGCATAACAAAAATGCCAAAAAAAAAACTCATTTTAGGTAATACTCTATTGACTGACAAAACTATTACTAATATATTATTTTATTCTTGAATAACAGTAGGCTATGCTATTTCATAAAATCTGCAAAAAGTATTTCTGTGGAATATTGTTGACATAAGTTATGTATATTTATTTCAAGAAAAAGGTAAAAAATAATGTCACAATTTAAAAATATATTGTTTATTCTTTCACAAAGCGCAAAATATACATTTTTTATAGAAGGTCAAATCACAAAAGAGACCAAAAAACCAAGCGAACAAAATATTCTTATAATATATCAAATCTGTAAACAAAAGTAAATCACTTTCAAGATTTAAAAATTAATAACTGTAGGCTCAATGTATAGGCCTAGTGATTGTTGAAAAGTGTTTATATCTTCGCTGACATCTCCATAGGCCCGATTCTCTTCGACTGTAGTGGCATCCTTCCCTTTCCTAAAAAAAAGTCTTTGTGTCAAGTTTATTTTGCATGGGAATTGGGAGTATCTGAAAGTATAGAACAAGAACAGCTGCTATTTCATGTTGTTGAGGGTTGGATAGAGCTTATGAAGTACATCAGGCATGTTTGATCTATGTTCCACGCTCTCACGGCCGCACAATTTTTATTTCAGCTAATACTGCGGTTTCATTGTGGACGAAATGAGAGTAAAAAAATGTAAAAAAAAAAAATAAAACCTAACCGTCATAAACTAACATAACTAACCAAACTTGCTAATAATATAAAAAGAGATATAAGATAAAAATCTAATGAAGGTTTACTACTATTCGAAAAAATTGTTCTATTCATAAAATAAAATTATAAATGCCTCAATTTCTAACAAAAAATTAAGTAATCACATTCTAAACAAAATCTTTAACAAAAAGTTAGTGTCACCGGAGGGATTCAAACTGGATAACTCTTAGACATCGTTTGAGTACTCTATCCACTACACAACATCGATAGTTGAACTTCGTATCGTTGCGCTAATGGTGTTCTCTCAAGAGAAGAGAGTGACGTCAGACCATGACAGCCAATAGAATGTTCTCATTTTGTCCGTATTGAAAACCGCAGCTGAAATAAAAATTGTGCCTCATGGCCCACTTTAAAATAACTATTTTAAGGTTAAACGTGGCCTTGGAGATTGTTAATGGTTTGCAAGGTCTGTAATTTAAATACTCACTTTTCCACTATTTTCTCCACTGTCAAAAAATTTTTGCATATTACCATTGACTAAATTGTTGAATATTAATCAACACCTACCTGTATTAATAGCCAAATATAATACAAGACCTATATTAACCTATATTATGTATGAAAGGCATGTATTTAAAAATTTAGTTAGGCAGAGATAGAGTCAGAAGAGAGTATAAAGGCTTATTTATTTACTCTTATACAAGCTTCAAATTATCTAGAAATATTTTAATATTGCTATTTATTGCCTTATTTTTAGTTAATGAAAACAAAAACTTAACATAAACAATGCGGTAGGCTGTTGTAAAATTAGTCATTCGAGGAACGATTTCCTAAACATACAACAAAACCAAAAGCTATTTTTTGCCATTATATCAAACCGTATATAGGCCTACCAATATATTTTTCAAACCGGTAGTCAATATATTTCTTGGCTACCGTACTTCAAACATTAGGTGTCAGAATCTAACTAAATTTTTTTTTTTTTTAGTGAAATGATCAAATTTGTTAAATCTTTTTAAGAGGGTCAGCAAATTTTCGTACAAAAGCGCCATGTACTATCGGTTCAATAACGAAATACTAAGTATTTATATTATTTCGGACCAAATAGGCTCGATTCAATCGATTAATGGTTGAATGAATACATATAATGAACACTGTTACCGTACCGCGACGGTACGAAGTGCTGCCATCGGTGTTCGAGGTGAAGTGGATAGTGTTCGGCTCATAATCAAATACTTATCAGATCGAATCCCACCGGTGACACTAACATTTTGTCAAAGATTTTGCTTAGAATGTGATTACTTCTTAACTGTACATCTTTTTTTAGAATTTGAGG